CTAACACGAGTCTCATTAAGTGTCCAGTTTAAGGGTATTACACAGAAACATACTAAGGGAACATGAATCAAATATGCACTTTTATTCATTTACAATAAACTCATAAAGTACATCATTCTGATTGAAGCAAAGGGCATACAAAACTGTCTAACACAATATTAATTACAGCCTTGTTATCACGATATAGCAAGATTGGCAACTGAACAGGAACACCTAATTCCTCCAATAAAGACCTCAACCATAAAGCCTCTAATAAAATATGAGCCATCGAATAGTATTCCACCTCAGCATTAGACCCAACCACCACATTTTGTTTCTTTCTCTTGTAAGATACCATATTTCCACCCACAAAAGCACAATATTCTAAAGTAGATCTCCTATCATCGAGAGATTCAATCCAATCAACATTAGTGTAGACTTCCACCTTCAGATGGTCATGCCTCTTATACAAAATAACCTTGCCAGGACTAGCCTTCAGACAAGCAAGGACCCTCTCCACTACTACCATATGTGATGTACGCGGAGTATGCATGAACTGGTTTGCAACACTAATTGCATACATCTGAATGAGTAATACAAAGATAGAGAAGTCTCCCTACAAGTCTTTGATACATGGCATGGTCCTCAAGGAGCTCCCTTTTGTAGCACAAGTCTTACGTCAAGGCTCAATATGTGTATCTGCTAGCTTTACTCCTAACTTCCATGTGCCCTTAAGTAAGTCTATTACATACTTCCTTTGAAAGATATAGATGTTGTGTTTAGATCTAGCTACCTCAATTCTAAGAAAGTACCACAGTTCCCTCAAATCATTGATTTCAAATTTTGAAGCTAAGAACTACTTGAGCTATGCAATTCCACCTATATCACTACTTGTTACCAAAATATAATCAATGTATACATTATACAATAACTAGCTCTCCATTCTTCTTCATGAACAAAGTATGATTTGACAGGGATTGCTCAAAACCAATTCCTTGTAATGCCTTTCTAAAGCTGTCAAATCATGCATAAGGTGACTGTTTCATGTGATACAATGCCTCTGAATCTGCAAACCCTAACACCTTGTTTCTCAGGGTAAAACCCCAGTGGTAACATCATATACATCTCATTTAGATCATCATTCAAAAAGTCATATTGCACATCAAACTACCATAATAGCCAATCAAAATAAACAGAAAATGATAGTAAAACACATATAGATGGCATCTTTGCAACTAGTGAAAAAGTTTCTTCATAATCAATCCCATAAGTTTGTGTGTAACCCTTTGCTACCAACTTGGCCTTATATCTTTCAATACTTCCATCTAACTTGTAATTCATTGTGAACACCTACTTACAACCAATAGGAGCCTTTCCTCTAGGTAATTCAGCACATCCCACATCTCATTCTTCACTAGAGCATCCATCTCAGCTTGCATAGCTTCTCTTCACTTAGGTATTATCAAAGCCTCAGTTATAGACATGGGAATATGAACAAATGAAATGGAGGCCACAAAAGAGACATATCCAAGAGATAACCGATCATAAGACACATAAGAGGATACACTATGAGCAGTAGAAGAAGATGATATATGTTTATTTTCCTTCTCTAGAGCCATAGGGAGGTCAAGGTCAGTAACAGAAGCAGGAACATCAAAAGTAGGGAGCACACTAGTACTTAGAGCATCAGTGTTCTGAGAAGTGAGAAGGTGGAGGTACAACAAGAGTGCCCCCAAAACCTTCATCCTCAAAGGAGATTTACAGTGGCTCTGATGAAATAAGGTCAAATACCACTCCCAATCTTCTTCTCTCATACATCTATGGCCATATCTTTGGAATTGTTGAGAATATGCAAATGTTGTAAGGGCTTTTTGGGTTTTTTCTTCTTTTGTATTTGGGCGCCCAAGTAAGCGCAAACTTGTACTTTTCAGCAAAACATAAAAGATTTGTCTTTGGTGTGAACAATAACTGAGACACATCATTCGAACTCTCTTCTTCTTCTTCACTTCCCCCTTCTCTTTTTCTTTTGGCTTTACATTAGTCAACTTGGTATCAGAGCAACATCTGGATTCAGGGTAGACTTCTACTCGTAGAGCCAACCTACTGACATCAGACCATCGCCAGATGATGTCAGCAGTTAGTATAAATGGTGGCAACCATCCTTGAAACTGGTATGGTTCAAATCTCCCTGAATTTTGGGACTTTTTGGTATAGGTTTCTCAACCATTCAAACTTCTGTGATTCGTAATGATTTTTCCAAAAGAAAATTTACAGAAAATTCAGATTTGAGTTTGGAGCTCTTTCAGTGCCTTGAATGGAGTGTTTCTTTAACTTGGCTTGTTTTATAGAACTAATGGTTTTACATACAAGATATTGTCTTTAACCATTTGATAGTATATTTTGATTTTCCCCAGTGAAAAACAGCAAATTTATGGCAAAAAATGAAGGCAAATAAGTTAACCCTATAAACAAGCAAACAGTTACTGACCTGTTCATACAGAAGCTCTATCTGTTGAGTCTGTTGAAGAACATGTGTGGCCATCAGATGATTTAATGCGGACATCTCCACCATTTTAGTTTCAGTTTCTTGAACAGTATCTAAAAGATTTGTCAACTCCACCTGCAAAAGTAGAGCAACAATTTACATAAAAGGAATGACCAAAAATGACTATAAAGAAAACTTTAACCCTAAGAAGACAAATACAACAATTACCTGAAGAGCACGTGTTTCATCATCCAAGAATTGCTGCTGAACTCTTTGATGTTCAGATGGGAGCTCATCTGGCTCCTTGACCTCTGACTGATTAGATTTAGTGATAATTGGTGAATTTGAATTGGTAACCTGGTGCATTTTTCGTCTTGGCATTGCTTTATTAACAGCATCCTGGAAGCGTATGGCCCTTAGTTGGTCAAACTGAGACGTGATTGAATGAAGTTTCTCACTTAAAATCAAAACCTGAAGTTTACCAAATTAACTGTCAAGAGAAAAGGTGGTATGAATGAAAACTCAGCAAAGAAACTAGGAAAAGGTACTCAAAAATGCTTTCCTTGAAACTGACAATAAAATTTATCAGTGTAATTTTCAAGTGCAAGCTGATGTTTTTTTCTTTTTTTTTTTTTCATTTTCCCACAGAAAGACCTCGTCCAAGGTACATAAGGTTACAAATCAAGCATCCTCATTCCTTTTTCATTAAAAAGTGAATGTATTAAAGGAAAACAAGCTGTGATGTATAGATTATTCACCAACACTACCACCACCATCATCTAAGGCTACTGCTTCAATAACCATATGACAAGCAGCCAAGCACCCCTTAATCCAAAGTGAACAAGAATGGGTACCCCAAGAAAGAACTTTCTCTATTTAGTAAATAATAAATGGCCACCACCCAGGACCAGAAATAATTGACAAGAACAATGAAGTAGGACAAGAATCACAGTGCTATCAGACTCAAATCACATAGTACATTCAAGCTGGTAAACATGTGAGCCAGGGGGTTCTGTGTCCCAACTTTCAGACAACTTTCATGGGGTAAACAAATAAATTACTGGTTAAACCAGTGATCATTGAGCATCCTGATTTTAAGAATGATTCACATTTTTTTACAATCAACAGAAACTTTCATTAAAGAGAGAAACAAACAAGAGATACAAGAAAAAGTCTCAAAGCAATGAACAATTACAACTTCAGCAACAACAGCCCAAAATACAACCAAAAACAGAGGAAGCAGAAGAAAGAAAGAATTGACAAGGGCTGTGATTTGTACAACTGATCCAAATTTGACAACTGTGCTCATGATACTGAACTGTAGATTTGATGTGTTCAGATAATGACAAACAATAAACAAAACAGATCCACAGAAATAAAAGGGGGGAGGAGGAGGGAAATTGGACAACCAAGGAGTTAGAACCTAATAGCTTGAGGGAATTAGAAAGTTGGCATCGAAGAATGTTTAGAGTCTGCACCAAACAACAAAGAAAATATTGCTCATCAATCTATATTTCATTTGCCTCCTTCAAAAGTTCAGGATGCATATCTAAAATGAGATCCTACATCTTTGAACTCTTAAAACTGACTAGAATTTCTTAAAGAAGTGTGCTCCTTAGATAGCAACTAGCAAGCAAATATATCCCCAGTTAATATACTCAAAAAAAGAAAATAAACTAATAAAGAACCTCAAAGGCAACTTAATGACGACTAAGATTATCAACTGAGGATAGCTCAAAGGCATATTTTTATTCTTCCAAATTTCCAGAAGTGGTGAATTTGCAAAACTTGACAGCTAAAGGTGCAAAGTGGATCTAATACAACTGCATCACACAGAAACTACTTCATGCATCCAACTGTTGCAGTGGGACCCATGAACAACATAGAGCCATGACAGAATCCTCATCTCTCTCTTTTATTTCCATGACAGATTTTTTCCCTCCATAATTATTATTTTATTTTCTACAGGTTTACATGGTATCAAATATAGGGGAATAAAATAAAATAGGCACCTATTACCATGGATCAACTGGAAGGGAAGATTGATGAAACTAATCAAAGAAGGAAGGTTTATGTGCCATTGTCTTTTGGCAATCTATTCTTCTTCCTTTTATTACATTTTTAACTAATTTAATAAAATCACAGAAAAAAATGAGCTTATATGGTTATACATTTTGTAAAGGGCATACAGATGTCATACACTGCAAAGTACACTTTTCCACATTACTAGTTTCTTCTTTACTTAATAAAATTCTAATTAAATGCACAAATTTGAAAAAAAAAGTTTTCCATAAAAGAATGAAAAAGAAGATTACCAATAACAATGTTGAAGATCATATATCATTGCACTGCAATGCTACTACTTTCCTAATGCATATTATCCACTAAGGCATTTTCAAGTGAAGGAAAACAAGTCGACCAAATGAATCAAGATAGTACTAGATTCTATAAATGGAACATTCACAAATTAAAGGATGCCAAAAGAGCACATTCAAGAGAGGCCATAACCATACCACACCATGTTTGTGGGCTACAATATCAACATGAGAATTATCACTCCGCATGGTAAGCCATGCCTTTGACTTCCCACTTGTATCTTCATCATGTATCCTATTTTTGAGAATATCTATCTGTTCTTTGCAAGTTTTTATGAAGACACTAACCTACAGAAAATGAACATATTAGAAACAAATATGTAGTGCTTATAAGAAAAAATATATATATGTAACCTTGTCTTGAAAATAGGCAGCCATGTACTTATTAGTAAAAGACAAATTAAACCAGCATTTGTATGGAAATTTCAATATAGATATGCTCCAATACAAATGATAAGAATAGGTACTATATTAACATACTTCATGCTCAATGCTGTCCCTTTCTTGTTCAGTGGTGCGATGTGGATCCACATAATCCTTCCGGTGCTTCAGGATGAACTGTTCCAGAGTTTTGATGCTTTCGAGCTAACATATCAAAACAAAGTTAGTATTACACAGACTTCTACCATGAGTTCCATTAACTGTTAACATAAATTAATCAGAAGAAGGGTAAAATCAGACCCCCAAGGTACAGCCTGTGTACTATAGAGGAGACAACAGATTACATTTTCGTTCATCATACTATTACACACAAAGTCTGGATTCATTTCCTCTCAGCCATAAAGCTGAGCTAGTCTCACTCAACCTCACTCCATAAAGATTGACTTGGTGCTTGGTTGGTGAATGATTTATCTAATAAAGGAAGAGTTATGTGATCTACTATTCCAGAAGCGATATTATGAGCTGGTTAAAAAGGTGGTGAGGAGGGTAGGGTCCTGGGTCTTGGTTGACAAGAATTTCCAGAATTCATCTGCATGGGAATTTTTAAAAATCAGTCTCTTAACTCTTTAGGGGGTAAAGGATCTCTTTTCACGTTTTTTTTGTAATCGGCTTTGTTTGAGTGTTTTGATAGTTAGGGGAATACTGTCACTGTGTGCTTGGAGCCCCTACCGATTGTTCGTTGTTGCTAATTTATCCTAGATGGCAATAAAATTACTTTACCTTCTTAAAAAAGAAATAACAATGGACCTTTTTAAATGGCAAGCTGAACCAGGATTTCCAGCATTTGTCAAGGCAAGAAGGCGCCCTTTGAGGCTCACCTTGCCTAATCGCCTAATCGCCAAACAGTTTTGTACTATGTATTATAAAATAATATTTTACTTTATTTTTTGACATTATAATTATAAAATAGGCACTATTAAACTCAAAAATTCATTTTGTGTGTTTATATACTAATTTATTTTTATTATTTTCTTTTTGTTAGGGTTTAATCAATATAAACATTGCTAAATGCTGTATTGAACCCCCAAAGACTTTAAAACCTGAACCAGTAAGTAAGGAAGAACTTAAAATATTGTCTAATCAACACATTGCTAAATGCTGTACTGGTTCAACTTAAAACTGAACCAGTACTACTACTATGTTTTCTAATCAACACATTTTCTTCTTTTTTTCCTATAACAAAAATAAGGGTTCAGCCCCTATATTTTTTGAATTTTCTTTTCCTTCTTCTTTTTCTTCTCATGAATATGTTGATTTTCTATACTTTCACATGAACTCTTTACTTTTCTTATGAAAATTATGAATAATTCTTAAGGAAATATGGTTATGGTACCTAGGGAACTACCCTAGGATCTATGTTTTCTACATAAAAAAACCCATCACCTAGGTGCCCGCCTAGGGTGACAAGGCGCCCCCCTGTCGCCTAGCCTCACCTTGGTGCCTTGAAAACTATGATTTCCAGTATGACACATCAACTATAAAAGTAAAGTTAATATCAATGAAATGTAAAACAAGTTGAGATGATAGTTTTAAACCATGCACATACCGTTCTAAGAGCAGCTTTGGTAAAAGTTGATCTTTGGCGAGGTTTATGCATAATGAAGGATGCTAATATAGCTGCCGTTTTGGACTGTCAAAAGTCAAATCCACAATATGGCAACACTGGTTTAGTAACTCCTCTTGGATAAGAAATAAGTAAATAATTAAAATCAAAACAGAAAATAAAATGTAGCTTAAACAAGAACTTTCTAATAGACTCTTATTTATCCCAAATATATTTATAGGAAAACTACTGTAAGCATTTTAGGGTAAAAGAAGACAACCAATAAACATTTTTTACACTGTTTGTATCACCACTTCACAAGTAGTTCAATCTGA